ATTAAAAAAAAATTAAAAAGAACTTTATAAAGCAAGCGTTTTGTTTAAATCGGTATTAGAATCAGAAGGTGATAAACTAGGACAAATATTATATTATCAAAGTCTTTCTTGCAGTAACATTGAGTTTTGAATGTTAATATAAGTAAAAGAACAGTTTCGATTCAATTTATATATGTATGTATGCGTATAATCATGAACCAACTAATGAGATCACCCAGGCATCCGTGTATTTGTAATTGCATTTGAGAAAAAACATAATAGTTAATGACGTCATTTTTTAATCGGTTCTTTCATTCACATAGAGGTTTCATTCAGTTTCATTCACACGGTGGCGAAAAAATGACGTCACTGCAAAAAAAAAACTTTTTTCTCGCACGCCGTCCTGGGTGATCTTCATTCGTTCGTTCATGCGTATACTTGTAAACATACAGCGCAATATACATTTCTTATGAATGACAATAATATGCCCAATTTTAGGTAAAACGCTACTAAAAATTTATATTTTTCGTTATTTCTATCCAACTCACCTAGTTTTGTTCTACATTTAGCATAAACAAAAGCGTACTTCATTTAGTTCTTTTTGAAAAAACGGCCTTTTTTATTCCCGGTTTCCCTCCTACTTCCAAAATACAACATTTAGTAAGAGGTTTCAAACCAGCTTGTCACAACTAACAACACCATGATTCAATAATACAAGGTTCGATAAACTGACAGTTCTCTCTCGTACCGCTCCCTTAGCAGTGGCACCGTGTTGCTTCTTTGCAAATTTACATGGAAACAGTGTTGATGAGAAATAAAAGTATAAGCATTTGTGCAATGTTTATTGGTATATGCATGTGAAGCATGTTTAACTGATGAAAACATATGCATTGGATGTTTACATCAATCTCATCGTACTCTTATTTTAATTTTGAGTCATTTTGCAGATTTTATACAGCTAAATAGCACATAAATTACGTAATTCACCTAGATATATCAATATTACGTTTAAAATACCAGATTTCCTGCAAATACATTAGAATTTACAAAAGGAATTTCACTACTAATTGCCTACTTTGCGTACTTTTCTACTACCATTTTCGCAACAAGGGACTACATCTTGCCCTTCGTAAATGCAACCTTTTCTAAGGGAGTGTCAAACCGCAGTTGTCAATAATTATCTAACCTTGTATTATTAAATCATGGTACAACACCTTGTATAATTTCACCATGCCGAGCGGTATGCGAGCTCTCGCTTGCTTTCAACTGTCATTTTTGTTGTTATACAGCTATGTTCTCATTTCGCAGAATTCTTCAGAGTAGCAACATCGTTTATTTCCCCTATTCCAAGTAAGGATTCACCCAAAACCGTTTCTTGCGTCTTTTTCTCTCTTTATGCAGATTTTCTAATTTTCCCAAACTTTTAAGAGCCTGCAAAGCTTGAACCTTCGTGTTTGGCGACATTTTACAAATGAAAATGTATGCTGTCAAATGCCCAGTCAACAAAACTCTATCTCGCTTGCGAGAGAAAAAAGAAGAACGCAAGCGAGATTTTCAAGCATCTGAAGACGGCCGGTAAGGTAGTTCGATTTCGAGCTGTCACAACCTACAACACCTTTCATTAGTTGCGTTCCCAAACTTTGGCATAAATGCAGTTGGGCTCCAAATTTCAAATTAAAAAAAAATATATATATTGGAATCGATAGAGATGATTGAGCTGAGTATAACGGTATACTTCTTTTTTTGGGCAAACAACAACAAGAATTATCAAAGGTTCAAGTTCAAAATAAGCAATTTACAAGCAATAACAATTATTTTACATTAATTCAATTTTTGTAAGAACTATACAACATATATATAAAGTACGTATACCAAATTAAAGGGAATCAAATTTCCTATTAAATGAGATCAAACTTTTCAAGATCCATCCATCCGTTTTTAAGAAATCTTGAAATCAAATTGCTTATTTTGAACTTTAACCTTTGATAATTCTTGTTGTTGTTTGCCTAAAAAAAGAAGTATACCGTTATACTCAGCTCAATCATCTATCGATTCCAATATTTTTTTTTTTTGATATTTGGAGCACAACTGCATTTGTTCCCTGGTAAATTCCTTAAATTCTTGCAACTTCTTGCGAGTTAGGGAACGCAACTATTATTGAATCATGGTTATGTACATTCACATTTACACCCGATTTACATGATTCAAGTACTTGAAAGCAATTCTTGCTCATTCTCTTTTGTGTTTTCTATTTGCTTTTACACGTTTCAATTCTGTTGAATTCAAGTTTTTGGTTCTTCAAATGGGAAGCAACGAAAATGCCAAAAGCAAAGCAAGAAAGTTGAAACGACTTGACGGTACAGATGCATGTGTACTCGTCCCCTTTCTTCTCACTCCCTCTCTTCCACATGCGAGCAGAATTGAATTCAATACTTGAACTGTGTAAAAGCAGTCTTACTGATCTTTGCTTACCAAAGGTGTTGAACGTTTTGGATGTACATCATTAGTATCAAATTGTACCGTCTATAAATTCGGTAGGCCGTCGTATTGGGTGATGAGTACCATACATTTGTTTGTAAAATAATGAACCACAACCTTTGTCAAAAATCTATTGATTTCGCAGTTAAACTGCGTCTGGAAACCTAAACCGGTACTTCTTCCGTAAAAGTCTTCCATATTTATATCACAGTATACCAGTAGAAAAGGTTTTTGTTGTTGTGGCTGTTAATTTGGTCCCCATAAAGGACTTGAGGGTTGCCAGCAACTGTTTTGCCGCATTCAGGGTGCTGTGCAGCAAAATAATGTGAAAAATTTTAACATCGGATAAATGGCGAGAGAAATATTGTTATGCGCTTTATAAGTAAACATGGACGTCATTAAATGTTTTATACTTCAATACAACTAATTAGCGCTATTTTTGCAATTCGAAGTGATCTTAAAAATATTTGTAGTGAAATATGTACTTTATGAGTTAAATGGAAACTATCTTATATGTAAAAATATATTCCGACTTACTTCAAATAAATGATGTAAAATGTTTTATATATGGATCTAATTTTAATAATAATAATATTTAGTACTTTCATCTACATTGCTTTTATTGTAAGTTTTCACGAGTAGTTGCAGTTTTCTGCCATTTTCTCTGGCCGACTATACATGCTAAAGCTAAATAATTTCACAATTTCTACCCTATTAAACGTTTATATTTTAATAAAATGTGATCAATTACTTAAGAATATATAATTTTCGATCAAACTATAACACTGAATGCTTGAGAAACAATTATTTAAATCAAATGATCAATAGGGAACTCACTCGGAACGAATTTGGGAACACTGAGCGAATTATGCATATTAACATTAAATTATTTCTAACTTTCTACCCTATTAAACGTTTATATTTTAATAAAATGTGATCAATTACTTAAGAATATATAATTCCTCTCAAACTATAGTACTGAATGCTTGAGAGACAATTATTTAAATCAAATGATCAATAGTGAACGCACTCGGGGCGAATTTTGGAACACGGAGCGAATTATGCATATTAACACTAAATAATTTCTAACTTTCTACCGTATTATACGTTTATATTTCAATTTAATATGATTAATTACTTATTAATATATAAACTCCGATCAAACTTCACTACTGAATGCTTTACAAACAATATTTGAATCAAAAGATCAACAGTGAACGCACTCGGAGCGAATTTTGGAACACGATATAAAATATGCATGTTAAGACTAAATAGTTTCTCATAAGCTTATGTTTTAATATAATATAATTATCTACTGAAGAATATATTAACTCCGATCAAACTATAGTATTAATTATTTGACAAACTATTTAAATCAAATGATCAACAGTGAGCGCGCTCGGAGCGAATTTTGGAACACTTCATAAAATATTTACAGAGGAAGTACATTATTTGGTAGAGATCAAAATGTATTTAACAAAGTGTGATTGAATATGACATTGCTCTCAGAAGAACCATCCTATAAAGTCAAATTGAAAAAAATTTGTACGAATTTGTTTATATTTTTTTACATAGTAGTATCTTAAAAGAGAGCCGCACTGAGTTGTCAATAACACCTTGGGCCGTATGCATAAAAACTAAGCAATTACTTTTTCTCAGATTTTCATACCTTTCACTTAAATTTATTTGAAAAAATTGAGTGAAAGGTCTGAAATTTTAAGAAAAAGCATTGTTGTTTAATACACCCATGATACAAATATTTAAAGGTAAAACCGGACAATTCGTCGGCCATCATTTACTTTTTGTAGTTTGTCTATTTTATAAAATTGAAATTTTGAGAGCAACTCAAATGCCAATTAAAGGTAAAACAAAAAACAAATAGATGAAAATATTGAAATTCTCATTTATTTGAGACTGATAATGAGAATGTATTTGTGAGATTGGAAATTTGAAAACATTTTTGTAATGTTAGCAAACTTTAAAAATGTTCAGGCTGCCTCTCAACGGTTTTACCTTCAGATTTTTGTACCATAAATACACCTTGGTCAAGATATCACGAACAAGTTTTCCTTTATTTATTTTTACTTAAAATC